TTAATAAATGTTCCCTTGGTTGGGATTCCCACCATCCACTAGGCTAGATAAGCTACTGCTGCATCCAGCTGGGAGCCTTCCCCTTTTATTGTCGACAGGTCCCTTTAATAAATGAAGTGGAAGTGAGCTGAGGCGGCTCTCAGCCAGAGACTCTAGTTTGTCTCTGCAGAGCAGCCAAAGACAGGGGTGGGAGAAATGAGAAAAATGCCATAAACTATTGGAATTTGTCAACAGACCTTATTGTAGATTTTATACAGATTAGACCACATTAAGGTGAGTGTAAACGAGTTTAGACTAATGAAATTTTTGCTGTTTATTCTTTTTTTTTTTTTGGTAAGATTTGTTATAAAAGGGTTAAGATAAGTAGCAACTATTTTGCACTACCAGGACAGCCTGACTCTGGTTGACTTAACAGAATCTGAGAACTGAGACTCAAATCTTTTTTTCTTTTAATCTGCAGAGGACAACCAGCAAATGCATAGTTATGCTTGCTTTTTAAAATCTGTAAAAACGTGACTTTACCTGTTTGTCTTCTGAGGCACAGCTAGTCTTGAAACAAAACTTGGTTCTTCAAATTCTAAATAGTTTTTTTTAAATCTGACAAGTAGTATTTAATCCCTGTATTCTGCTATTTTGTTATCTGCAGAAAAGTCATCTTCACTCTGATGAGCTCTCAACTGATGTGACACGATATACTACTTTGACTTAGGTTGATTCAATAAAGCACTGGCTTTAATAAGAAATAAGTTTTAAGCTTAAGCTTTTGTATAAAACGTCAGGTAGATTAAGTTTATTTTCAGCTTGCTTGGACATTTTAGGAATGCAAATGGTATTCCATATTATTTTAGATTCCAAGGTTTCTGGTGAAAATCTCTTTTAGCTCATACTAAGAATTAAATTCAGGTAAAGCAATTATGTTTGAACATTTTTTTTCCAAATTATTCATTAGTTGTCCAATAAAATTAAAGGTTTAATTAAGTTTTTCTTTTCTGAGTGAAATTAAAAGGCATTTGCCAAGGTTTCCAACTGTAGTGTTAAAGGTGTTGGAAGCTCTTCTATAGTTTTAAAGTTTAAAAAATTCCCTTAAAGATATTTAAAACATTGCCCCCAAAAAAAGATCCCTGCAGAAAAACTGGTAAACACATGCTGAATGAGATGTTTTCTGAAACAGAATTAAGTCATTGAAGATTGTTTCTGATACCAAAAATACATAAATGTCAAAGTGAAATCAGTGGCCAACAAAACAAAAATCAATGTAAATGTACCAGCAGTGTTAATCGAGGTATACAAGCATTGATTCACTAATCAAAGACCCAAAAGCACTTTTAATTACTGAGAGCTTTTAACACATGGGTGCCCTACCTCTGTCCTTTGAGGCTGCTATCCAGCAGCTTTTAGATGCATCTCTTTAACACACCTGAATGAAATAGCGCGATAGGCCTCTGCACAGTTGAATGACATGCTGATGAGGGAATTCGGCCATTTGACTCAGGCATGTTGTTGCAGGGATGCATCCAAAAGTTGTGACAGTAGCTCTGGAGAACTGGACTTGGGCACCTCTGTAAATACAATCAACATCTGAAAACCAGACACAAGGGCAGTTCTGACCTGACACAACAGAAATGAATAGAAATTCGTTTTTGTGGCAGCACAAATACTGAGAAATTTGATTATTTCAACCCCTACAGATTGTATCAAAGACGATCTTTTGTAACTCATGAAAGTAAATCTTCCAGAGAATCTTTATATGGTAGTGTACCTCAGGGGTGAGCCCTTGATACCCCTTTTTTTCTGCTGAGGGGAAACGGGTGATGCTGACGAGCAATGACCGAAGATTTTACTCAGGTAAATACTTTAAACTGGCAAACTTTCAGGTTGTTCACAACATAGTTTATATGTTTCGATGAGATGCATATAAAATCTCAAACCTGTCATATACTGTGTGGCTAACAAACTGTTGCTTTTTGATGGATCCAAGTTACAAATATATCCAAGTGATATCAGATTTGATGCTTTTTCATAAAGCATATGATGATTAAGCAGCATGTCCTTAGGCCATAAAATAAGTAAATTAATTTACTCTCCATGGTTAAATCTCTTTAATATGCTGATGTCAAATAATTTTAAGGCAATTTTTTAGTGACTCTGTTTATTATAAATGCTTCTTTTCTGTCAGATCTCCTGTGAACAGCGATCAGATTGTAATGCAGTAAAGTCTGCTGAAATCGCCCTCTGCTGTAGATTTCCATGCTGCAGTGGCAGCAGAGGATCTGTGGGAGTAGGAAACAGCCGCTGAGATGACTCAGTGCTCCAGAATGATGTAATAATATTTTCTCTGTAGTCCACCGATAAATGCAGTAGTTTCCCAGACCTGTCACTTTGCAATATATGTAATAAATCCAAGCAGCTGTGTGAAGTGAGCATCAGCATGTTGTTTTCAGACAAAGCTGTCTAAATGTTTTAAACTACCCACAATTTATTAGCTTTTTTTTCAAGGAGCATACCTATGATGCATCACTGGTTCATCTCTTAAGCTTTGTTGTTTGATTTATGATTGATCAAAGTTACATGCCTCTGGAAATCAAAGAAATTTGTCAAATTTACTATCTTCTTAATTTTAAATGTTAGATCTGCCTCATTCGAAGTAAAATGTAAAGAAATAAGAGATGACACAAGAATGCATACATGGCATGGCAGTCCAATCACAGTTTATCTTAAACTTCATAAAGTTGAGATGGGACTATTTTTTCACCTCACAAATTTCTTTGGAACAGTTTTTTATAGAATAGCATTTTTTAGATAACTGATTACACTCTAAGGCTTGCTTGTTGTTTTTTCTGTTGCCTGGGCATTGGTGTTGGTATTGATGGTGGCAGGCTTGAGGACTGATCTGTTGGACTGTGACCCCCTCACAATGAGTGGACCCACCACTGTGAGCTCTGCAGGTGACTTGCCACAGCAACGTATGATGGAGTAAAGCTTGATTAACAATGGATGATGGCCATCTAGGTGGTTCTGATGAATGTCGTAGTGTCAGATTTGTAAATGGGTTTAAGTCATGTTGCAGCTGAATGTTGTTAAACTTTGGATAGTTAGGATTAATTGGAATGTATGTACCTGACTTCAAATATGTATGATTTAATTGAATTGACTTAGCTCTTTTTAAAGTTGCCCACCTTTCACACAATGCAACAGGAAACAACACTCGCCAATTATTTTTAGCTCTGCCTTCCTCCCTCCCTGTTGGACGGAGTAATTGGGAGTCAGGTTTAGCCTAAACCGGCTCAGTTATGGTTGAGGTACAAACACACCCACCATTTCTGCTACCTGTGGGACCCCTTTTCTTTTCCAATGGTTATAATCAGTCTGACAGAGAGAGGTACCACCAATCCTTGTTGTTTTTAGTATAACAATGGCCACCAGTAGGGTCTAGATGGACAAACTTTATCAGTTAATTATTTTACTTGGTACCCCTACACATAACCCATTCTAAAATGGCCAAACTCTAACACGAAGTAGTTTATTCTAAACTCCCCAACAACCCCGCACCATTCCAAAGCCTTTGTGAAGTGACTTGAGATGACATACGTTGTGAATTAGCGCTATATAAATAAAACTGAATTGAATTAAACTGTAAAAAGAACACCATAGAAATTTGTGTGGGCATTTCAATGACAGTCATATTATTTTAAAACTTGATTAATTAGTTAATCAAAAAAAGGTCTAGGAGCAGCTGCTTCTGAAGATTATCTCTTTACTTTGAGATGTTGCATTTCCCCGATTGTAAATCTGAATTGAAAAATAATCTAATTCGTTTTTCTGTTTCAGTAGGGGTCTGTTTTTGCTGTGAGTAATCTAGTAAAGTGGGGGTGGGCCTGGATCAGGGAAATGGATGCATTTGTGTAATTACTTCATATGTCTTCTGCAGCCTGACTGTTACATTAAAGCTTTCAAGAGATGAGAGTCTCTGGGGACATACAGGTCTGTGACATGTGTGGACGTATGTGTCAATGTACGTGGGTGGATGTTCAAGAAAGAAAACCATGAGAGGTTTTTCTTTTCAAGAAACTAAGAATAATTACATGCAAACAATAAGAGGAAGGCTGCCTTCTTGGCTTTAATTCCTTCAAGGCCAAATATGACAGAAGCTCATGAATCGTGTGTGAATCCTGTGAATTGTGTGTTTTAACTCCACTGCTGTCTCTGTTCAGATGACTGTTTACTATTGTGACATTTTGAGATTCCTTATTTCAATAAGGGTAAATTTGATCTGCTGTGAATTTCACGCAGAAATGGTAACTGCCTGTGTGCTTAATCCAGCAATAGTTTGGTGTCCCTTTTTATTAGAAGAGATTAGGTTTTGAATCCTAAGAAAGGTTTTTACTTGCGTAAAATTAAAAGGCCCACCAAGGGGTGAACCAGTCACTCTTAAGATGAATGGAATCAGCAGGTTTTTACCTTGCTGAGCTGGAGTGGTGAGCGGCAAACCTGTAAATGCGGCAAACCAGAGCTTTTGGTGTGACTGTTGCTAAAAGCTCATTTTCAGCATGGATGTTTTTACTGAGTGAAGCAACGTGACTTCACCGTGGTCAAGATTCAGGTGGTTGACTTGCTTTTGGCAGGGAGCAATTAACCAGTTTTTCCACAACTGTGCTGCTCAATCCACAAATGTATTTTCCTCACAAATGTGGCACCATTTAAAGAGAAATAAACAGGTTTTCCAACAGTACACTGTTCATTGCCAAGAAGTGTTGCAACTGCAAGGAAATAATCGACCCAACGCACATTTCCTTACTTTTTGCGCTGTTTATACAATAACTATATTTCACTTTGATTTCTGAATAAAACAGAACAGTCAGGTTCTAAATTAGCTTTGACAGATGGAGAAAAGGCTGTAACCTCATGGCATCTTAGCTGAAATCTAAGAAAAGACCAGACTTTCTCATGAAAGAATCATAAAGTCTGATCGTGAGATTAAATTAGTGGTTTAGGGGCGAAGTGCTGGTGATGGTATAGGGGGTTGAGTGCGTGACCCATATACGGAGGTCTTAGTCCTCGACGTGGCTGTCCCGGGTTCGAGTCCCGACACCAGCAACATTTGCCGTGTGTCTTCCCCTCTCTCTCCGTCCCCATTTGTCTATCCATTGTCAAACAACACTGGGAAAAATAAAGGCCACTAGTGCTGCAAAAAAATATCTTTAAAAAAAAATTGGTGGTTCAGTGTGACGGAGACACCAACCTGCGATCCAGCGGCATCTTAACGACTTAAGAAAACTATCAAACACTGTCAGATATTTTCTGGGAAAACCGTCCACAATGACTGCCGCTGCGACCTACGTCTGAGTCTTGCTGTCCATTTATTACTAGACTGACATCTTGATCGGTTCGGTCAGACGCGATTTATCTGCAGCAACAAGACGTGCAATCTGACATCTTACCATTAAGATTTTAAGATGTCAAGCTTACACAGTCTCGCATGTATAAATAGTGTAATATTTTTATTTTACAGTTTGTGCTGGGCTTTGACAAACTGGAAATAGCCAAAACCAGAATCTGCAGGACATCGTTTTACAAAAACTGGGAATCTGCATCTCCAGTTGTTTCTGCTGCCTTGCAGGAAATTAAGTCTTATTCATACATGTGGGTCATTTGAGAAGCAATGCAACTTACCAGAAACAGGAAATGTAGTCTCCTTTCTGTTGCATAAAGCTGGTTGGGTTGTGTGTATTGCAGGAGGTTCAGATCCCCTCTTTTTTGCATTTTGATGTACCTTTCAGACTTTTGCCCTCTCTGTGCTTACAAGATTTAACCCCCCCCCCCATCCTTTGGCCTCGCTCACTTTCTTCTGATTGGTCCTTGCTTTTGTGTACGCCACCACAGGGCCCACCCCTCCTCTGTCTCTGCTCTCCCATTGACTGTCAGTCTGTTTGGATTACTGTAACCACTCAGGCCTCTCACATGTGCTCTCTCTGTCCCCCCCACTGTGCACGCCACAGCATATGAGCCATGAGCAGGATTAGGTGACAGAAAGCAGTCTTCTGTTTTCCCTTTCTGAGAAAAGAGAGGCAAGGAGGAAAGAAGGCAGCCATGGAGTTAAAGTAAGTGGGGGGGCTTCTATTTTTTTTTACGTTTAAATGGAAAAATGATAAGAGGAATAAAAAAAAAAAGGAAAGATTTATAATTAAAGGAAGGAATGATCTACAACTATCTTGGTGAATGCCTTGCTAAAAAAATGTTTGCCCGATGATGTTTTTTGGCTTCTGGAAGAAGAAAGGATGACTTTAAAAATAAATGCCTCCACAATAAAGGTATTTTCCTGGGAAGACTTCTCTAGGTTAATACTTGAAAAACAAGTTCCAGCTGCAGATTGAACACCCTCAGGTGGAACCCATATTTATGCACTTATGTCTTCTCATTTCCTTTGCCTGCTTTTCGTGCTTGCTGGTAAGTAGCAGGTGCAAAAAGTCAAGTTTGTTCATGTAATCAAAAGCCATTTAAATCAGGCAGTATTCAGTATAAAATATTCACAATCAGTCAAAGTCTTGCGTAGAAGTCTCTTCATCTGTGCTGGAGTTTGGATTCATAATTATTCAAGATCTGTTCTTTAAGCAGATATAGGGCTACTAAAATGATTTCATATAGTAAACTGCGCAAAAAAAAATCTGAAGTGATAAACATGCATATATATTCCAGTACTGCAAACTTTAAGACACCAACTCCAAGCTGGAGCTTTTATTCATATATCGCAAACTGGTTAAAAATCAGCTAAATTGAAAACTAAAGCAGTTTTTTTTGTCACTGTTTCACTAAGAAAGTGCAGTTTGTTTGGACATTGCACTGTTTTCAGCTTCACTGAATTCAGGTTGACAGATGTGCAGCATGGACGGTTTCCAGTTTCCTTACAGCTGCAGAACTGTACCCTTCAGCTTGAGTTCAGCAGCTAACATACAGACACTCTGACACGGAGATATACAGAGCATTTTCTTATCTCGTGCACGCAGAGTGCAGGGTTGGTAGATATACTGCCTGGCACACTGACTCAGGATTTCCCAATTTACTCGGTTCCAAGGTTCCCTTGCTCTTTTTTCCTTGAAAAGTATGCATACAATTGGAAAAACCTTAATGGTGGTGGGAAAAATATAGAAATTCCCAAGCTTGAGCAGCAAAGCCAAAGGTTTTGTAGTTTGTTTGGGATATAAAAACATTAAATCCACTCAAAGTAAAACTTATAAACCTGGTTGAACACAGTTGATATGTGGTCTTCTGGTTCAGATGGGTGGGTGTTAGATGAGTGATGTTAAGGCGTGCTCGGCCACTGTAATCTCTCATCATCCTGTCACCACTGGAATTTTACGATAAGCATGAGAGTGTTCTAATGTTTGGCTGCAGCACTATTGGCACATAAACCCCCCTGATTTCACTGGGAACAATGGTTGGAAAGGTTATTTCTGTAAGAGACTTATTGAAGCAGCTGAAGATAAATCTAGTGATTTATCTTCAACTGCTTCAATGTCTGATGTCGAAACCTTGGCCTTGTGGGTTTAGGTGCTAAAAATTGTTTAAAAAATTACAAAACAACTTAGCTGTTGGGTCACAAAGGCTAACTTCACACTATAGCCAAATGTGGCCCAAATCCAATTTTTTATTTTTTTTTAACTCATATTTAACTTTTTCCTGGCAGTCTGAAAGGCCCTATTTTGATCTTTAACCCTCCAAAAATATCCAAATTGTGCCAATTCCATATGTGGTACTAAACTGGGTACATATGTTAGTTTTCAAAGTGTCAGAACGGTCATGTCACATTTCATCGGACTTTGAATTTGCGACTGCACATCCATACAGACGTCTCTACAGAAGGTCCAGTCACTGATTCACAAAAGGCCACTGTAAATAATTGTGCTCGTTTTTTTTCCTTACCTTTCTTCGTCTTGTTATGATGTGGTCATAATATTGCTGGCTCCCATTGCTCTTAGTAATGACACAATATTACTCCTGTAAACGGTGCGCTGCTGTGTCATCTACATTCTCCATCTAGGCATGTGATCCGCTTTGGGGTTGTGAACCGTTCGGACTAAGTGTCTGATGGTGGCCGCATTTAATTAGTAGTTTGATCAACCACTCAAAAATAGTTGGATTTTAGCAAAAAATCGGAACTGAGCATCAAGACCTGCTGTGCGAACCTAGCCATGTTGACAAAATGTTAATAACTAAAATTACAATCAGTAATGGAGATTCCAAATCCCCCCAGTACCCATCCCATAACTCACCCAGTGGACACAAAGTTATTATGCTGGGTTATGGCCCAATAATCACATCATAAGCTGAAACTTCGTCGCTGTGATTGTTTTGCAGGCTTCAGTACTTAACACAGCTCAATTCTGAAACAATCTAATGAAGGTCGAGCCAAAAAAATGTTTTTGCAAAAACATGAATAGGTTTGTACCAATCTGAAAAGCTTTTTCGGAGAGAAAATGTTGCTATTTAGCCTCTCCTAGCTTTTTTTTCATGGTCTTTGGCTTACAGGAGATACAAGAACTGAAAGCACTTCGTAATGAAGATGGACGCCATCAAATCAGAGGAAAACGGACTTACCCATGGTAAAATGGGACCAATGATCTGCAATTGATTGGAAAGTTCTGACAAAATCTTAGAGGATTATCCCTACATATTATCCGTACAAGCTTATCTTTTGTTTTACAACTAGGTTAAGTTTTGTTTTTTTGAAAGCCTTTCATTTTTCATCAGTGTGGAATATTTTTATTTACTGATGGTATAACTCAGGGGTGTCTAAAATGTGGCCCTCAGGCCTGTGAAAGCAATTTTTTGGTCTGTCAGCAAAGGTGATGCAGATGAAGTTTTTTAAACCGTATTTTTAGGGCGAGATTTGCTTAATTTGTCTTCCAATTGCTGGGACTCATTTGCCGTTGTAATAATAAATGGCAGAAACAGAATGGGAAGCACCTTTTTTGAAATCAGTCATTCACTCCGACTGAGTTGTTGTTGTTGTAACACAGTGTGTTGTGTTCAGAAATGAAGAGAGAGAGAGAGATGGTAGAAACCGCTGAGGTCAGTGCTCTGGAAAGAGCTGTGAGAGACCAGCAGAGACCTAAACTAACGTGCAAACCCTCTGAGATGTAATCAAAATGAAACTGTTTTCATATCGGTGAGTGAGAAGGCCTTCTTTTTTGCGCTGGTCTTTTGAAGTGTCTTAATGCTTTGTTTCTAATTATGTGAACCTAAAAGTGAAGCAGTTAAAACAGGTTATGTTGCATATCTACTCTTTTTTTTTAAGTTTGAAATGTGTCAGTGCATCTGAACTATCAGTTTTTTTTGTGTGTGTCTTTTAAGACTTTAGGCAATTCAAAGATTGTCTGCTTCTTTTTACTTGACCTTTTCATTGTCCGATGAGCTAACCCCTCCCTCCTACTTCCCTATGTCTAAGGGGATTGCTCAATCCAGCTCTCCATCTAACGGGTCCGGACTTCCCTAAACCTGAAAGGTCTCACTAAGCAGGTTTACTGAAAGTTCTGTTTAAGCTGGTGTCGGGAAATGACTCGCCTAGCCTCTGACAGCCTTCATACAAAAAGCCCTTCTTCGACTGGAGGTCTGGACGACTGAGTAGCCCACAGCAGTCATTCACACTTCGACAGTCACTTTTGTTCACGGCTGCTCATTCCCTAATATTACAACTGGCTCTTGGTATATGGGCTAGGTTAATTTTAGTAGCT